AATACATGTATATATGTGTATGCAATATGTAGGTATACATATAGCTGAATAGATGGCAAGATGGAACGATAGATAAGGAGATAGATAGATTTTAGAGATACAACTCGAGAGATTCACTCACCCTCCTGCGTGTCCATTTCCTCGACCTCGTTAACCTGAACAGGCGCGAGGCTGAGCTGCTTGAGGTTCTCCTGGTCGTTTACGTGATTCATCGCGAAGCCGATGTTGATGGTCGTCTTGATGGCGCCGGGTACCTCGGTGACGGCCTCCGCCGTCGAGGTTACGTCGTCCGCGTTGATCGGCGCCTGCTGCTGCTGATTGTTTCCTGCCGCTGGCTGCGCGGATGCGAACGGTACGCGATTCCGGCAAGGAGTCGTCGTCGTCGTCGTTTTACCAAGTACCTTCTTGATCTGTACCGTAGCTGACAATGTATGATCCTGCTGTGGAGGTTGTTGCTGCTGCTGTTGCTGAGACGGCGGCGGCGGTGGCGGTGGTGGCGGCGATTGCCGTTGCTGATAATTCGATTGCTGCAACTGCTGCTGCTGCTGTTGGTTGTGGTGGTGGTGGTGGTGATGGTGGTGGTGGTGGTAGTGGTGTTGGTGGTGGTAGTGGTGCTGGTGCTGCTGCTCCGTTCCTACGATCACCCGGCTACTATCGAAACCCACGTCGCTACCGGGACTCGAGAGCGACGTCGCTTTACCGCACTCCGACGATAGATGTTTGCTCGCAGTTCGCCCAATTTCTGCGGCCATCAAGTGCCCCCACTCGCACGGGGGACGCCCACAACATATATTCCACCCTCGTGTTATTACAATCGCTAAGTACGCACTAGGTATACGACTCGAGTACCCGTACTATCCGTACTCGTACTCCCTTTCTCACGCTCTCTTCCGAGTGTCGCCACGGCCACGAATGCGGCTATCTTCGTGACGGTGGCGCACAATTAGCGACCACGACGGCGACGTCCGTGACGACGTTTGTGGTGGTTGTGCTTGCTACCACTGCTGGCAGCGACGACGATGATGACGGCAGTGGCGGTGGTGGTGGAGGAGGTGGAGGTGGTGGTGATGGTGGTGGTGATGGTGGTGGTGGTGGTGGCAGCGGCGGTATTAGCGATGATGGTGTTAGTGGCAGCGGCGACGGCCGTCTCGCCTCTCGTTCCGGCGGCTCACCGATCTCCCCCCCCCTCCCGCGCACGACCGATCCGTGAAAAACTCTTTCCGTCGCGCGCTTTACCGGCGCTCAGCAACGACGCGATCACCGACAACTACGTCGACGATTACGTTTACACGGGGACGGCGATCGCGAACGACGTTGACAACGCGGCTCACTTCACGTTCCTTCTCTCTTTTCCACGCTCTCGCGCACGCTCTATCTCTCTCTCTCTTTCTACCGTTCGTTTTCTTTCTCTCGCTCGCCCCTCCCTCTCACTCTCTCTCTTTCTCGTCGTAGATGCTCGTCGCCACCACGGATCTCGATCCGGATCTCACCGTGATTCTCGATCGACTCGACCGCAACTTCCGGCTGCAAGCGAACCCACCTGTGCCGTTATTCAATGCAGCGGGTCCTCCTTCCCTTCCTATCGATCTCTCTCCTTCCAGCCCGTGGAGCCGGACGTTACTCGAACAGCACGAGACGAATACGCGCGGGCCGATCCCGTACGTCGCGATCGTCGCTCACGGATCTCTCTCTGTCACGCGAAAATAAACAAAATGGCGGCGAGTGCGGCGGCTCGCTGCGCTCGTACCGTCCGCACATACATGTATACACGTATACGCGTGCGCGCGCGGCGTGACATTCTCTGTATACGGTATCCCGTGGGCAACCAAATTCGTATAGATAACCTACTCGACTGTGCGTCGCCAAGTCGAGATACTTAGATAATTTCCCGCGACTTTCGAGATAATTTTCCAACTTTTCCCGCGACTTCAATCTTTCAAACTTTGATTAACAAAATCCTGGCAATTACATTAATCGGTCTATTTAATCTTACTCACTTTAAATGCCTATGAATTTTAAATGTCTTTGAATCATGAATTCTGTTGTTAACAAAATATTATATTGCTTTATAAAATAATCAGAATTTGATCAACTCAGTCTAAAACTTCAAAAATTCTTCTCGTTTCGATAAATCGATAATAAATGATAATCTCGATCGCAAAATCGATTTTCAACAAAGCTGCACATGGATCAAATTATGAGCCCTCACTAAAAAAAAAAAAAAAAAAAAAGAAAAAAATTACACGACTATTGGAACACGAAGGAATTAATTTATTCCGGCGTATAAATTCGCACGAATTCTCGCTTCGCGATTCAATATGGCTGCAATGAGGGAGAATGAAAATTTCGGACTCTATCTTAACGAAAATCTTCCCTCTCTTGCCTCAAGCGTACTCGTGAGGAATGTCAATGCCAGGTTATTCGCAAGTCATATATCTAAAGCGGTCGGTTGTTATTATTTTGCACGAAGAATATTACCGAATCGTAGATGAGCGAAAAGACAAAAAGCTCTCGTCGTAGATAAAGGACGTTTCCAGATGACGACCGCGTCGTCGGTTTACATCTATTGTGTTCTTCCTCTTCCTCTATCGATTTCGACGGAACTGCGTCGCGGATTGTCACCGAAATGAAACTCTAGAGACGCCTTTGTTCGTGGCCGAGGCGGGAAAATTCAAAACTCGGCTTGAAATGCCGTCATTTGATACATCAAGTAATACATCACATAATCTGTGTGGCTGTTGTACTCATTGTACGCCAAATAGATATATATTTGAAGTTTAACAGAAGTGAGAAAATTTTAATCAGCTCAGTGTAAAAACAGAAAACAAATCTAAGGATAGAGCCAGATCGTGGGAACGCCAAGCATCTTGATGACACCAAGTATCTCGTGGGTTTGAACGGTTTATTTAAACGTATATAAGCACAAAGCTGAACAATAGTCGAGTACACTGAAATAGAATCCCCGTTGTTCGCTTTGGCATGACGAGGATCCAACTTATCCGAATAGTGTATTCTATACACGGGTATACGATGAAAGAAAGTTTGCGCTGTCGATTTTTGCATGTCACCTATGCGCTTCTGATCTGCGATAGATTAATTAGACAGTACATTCTATTCTGACAAGGAACGCTACGTACAGATTCATCGATCGATTGGATCTGACAATTTTGTTTTGTGTAGGAACTCTAAAGCAACAAATAAAAAGCAAACATAATCTTCCAATCTTGCCATTTATTCATGAGTTAAGTTCCAAAAATAACGCTTTTAATAATCAATTCTTCAGTTTTTCATAAAAATGTTTTTGTTATTCCGTAAACTTCGAGTGAGCTTTTGATTCAATTCCTGAACTGGTACTGCCATGAATGAGGAGAAAAATATTTAAAACAAAACTTCAAAATATTCTTTGAAACGATATGAGAAATTCAAGAATTAATAAGATTAGAGTTTGTTAATTAAAATAATAAAAACTTTTTACGAAAAACTGCAAATAGTTACATACATATGTTCATACATATGTTTGCAGAATATTAGAACTTAATTTTAAAAACTTCATTCATATAAATAATATCATTTCATATAAATAAATGGCAATATTGAAAGATTCTTTTTCCGTTTCATTTATCACTATAGACTTTATCATGTTTTACAAGTTTGAAAAAAATTGTCATATTCAACTATTAGTTCCTGCACATTTGAAAAGATATATCACAGTACAAGAGTTTTGAAATAGCTGTGAAAGGGGCAGGTAGCATTATTCAGACGCTACAAGAATTAAATATAAAAAAAAAGAAGCATGTTATACATGTATTAATAAACTACTTTTACTTAACAAGCGTCATTAAAGCAAATTCGGTTTTGGATGCAACAGGCAATCTATGTTGTGTACGATTGCACTTACGTAATTGCATCTCACGTAAGATTTTTATAATACTTCTTTCCTACTGCTTTGATCGATATAATTTTAGATTAAGGTAATCAACATATATAGGAATCAAATTATGTCGTTTGCTGAAGTGTGTTCACTTTCAGATATTTTTATTCAGGTATTAATAATTACAGAAATAATCGCAACATAGATTACTTATTGTTCTGCATTCTCCTTGTCTTTTCTAATCGAAGCCGAGAGATCCGAATAAAATATAATCTCAAGAGAATCGTACGCATATACAGAGATCGAGAGAGTACATAATTACATATGTAACGCGATTTAGGTAAGGCATGATTAAGGCAACCTGCTCGACAGACTTAAAGATCTTGATCTCAACAGTTTTTAGTCTCGCTTCATTATAGAAGGCTCAGTAAAAGATGTCTTTAGGCACCTCGTTTGGCAACCTGTCTACACGGTTACAAAGAAGAAGTTATCACAAGTCACTAAAAGTATGCATCCGAGACACATGACACGAAATACCTCTATCAAGACAGTACAGAGAAGTACTTCACGAATTTAAGATTTGATTATTTGTCCGGAGCGCGAGTACTCCAAAGTCATGTTGCAGCTTTTAATATTTCGCTTGTAATCACATAGTAGAATACATTTTGCATTTAATAATACAAATGATAAATCATTGAATCACATCTTTCTTAAAATACTTGCAGTTCAATATTACTTATTGCCTAACATGTAATACATCGTATATTTGTCTTTTTTTTTAATACTTTATATGTTTAATTAGGTATAAGCACTTTCTTCTCTATGAGACATTTATATGTTTTATAATGTATACTTAGTGAAATTTTTTAAGCGTATTAAACACCACTTCAAGAATTCTTGTGGAGCTTAATTTTTATAGTTTTTTTTCTATTGTTCATTTCAACATATAAATATAGTTATATTATCTTAATTAATAATTTGCATATATTGCTTTTTTTTATCAAACAGTAGTTTTGTGCTCCTGTTCCTTTTCCCAATTGGTATATTAGAAACAGGGGAATATCATCCCCTGTTATATACATTAAATATTGTGTCTATTTTATGTATTAGATACATTGTTGAATATAAGATAATCAAAATAGAAAATAGCAATAGAAAATAAATTTATTGTAAAAACATAACAAAATCGTAACAATTATAATCAAATTGGAAAATATATATTTGTACTTAAAAAATCGTTTGAACATTTTAATAAGTGTAATTAAATAAATAATGTAATAATATAATTAACACAGTTAATTATTTAAAAGTTATATAATATGATTACAATTTGTATCACATATCATACGTTTATCATACTTCAATTATTTTCTCATAGTTTTGATATAGCAAACATTATCTAATACTGGTATAGACACCTTACTTGTGCATATATATTATTATGTAACAATATTATCTTCGGGGTTTTATAATTAGCCATAATTTGCCATTATTATCAATACCTACAACGGAGAAGTAGAGTATCTGTTATTATCAATGGGCATCGCACTTTTAACGCTATAAACTATTTAAAACTGATAACACAACATTATTCGAAATGGCTATGTTATCCAATAACTAGTTGCTAATTGTCATTATTATATATATAATGCTTAAGAAAAGATACTCTAATGTTTTGAATTTTTTTTAAGTTTTGATTTGCACAATGGGTGGTCCCAATAAATAATTAATAAACGAAAATATATTTAAACTATTAATTCTCTAATATCGTATTGGCCCAACAATTTGGTCTACAATTTATATTATATCTAAATGGAAACATAAAAACTAGAATACTCATTTTTCGACTTATAAATGTCGATTATATCATTTCATTAGTAGCAGCATCCTATACAAATGCGTTTTGACATTTATAAAATTAGTTGGAATACTATGCAAATTTTTGCAATTTTTTAATTTATGAGATATTATTCAAGTTATACATTTCAATAAACATTGCAATATAGAGATATTGTAAAAAATTTATCTAACAAAACTCGCATTGTTATAAAAAGAACGCCATTTTTTTTAATTTTTGGGGCAAAAATGTGATATCAATCACATTAGAGCCTAAAAACTTTATTTTTCTAGAATATGTGTGGCACAATACGAATGTCGGAGATACACCGACAGTACATTTATAAAATCTTTATTCTCACCTAGGTCACTAAATTTGGTAGCAATTTGTTTCACTGCTTGACTAGATTTTTACGGTGTTCACTGGTAATAGTAATCTATCATACAAATCTTACTAAAAAAGTGTTTCCCATCACCGCTATAAAAAATGGACAGACTTAGCGAGTACATAAATCGTACAAAAGAAATCGTCGGCATCTATCAGAACGATATCATTCTTTCGTCTTGCCGTACTAAAAAAATTAAATTTTTATCTATTAATACATTACCCATCGTGCTAACACGCTTGTAATAGCCTCGAATTTCTTTATTGAATCGAACAAACTTTTGAAGTTCCAAGAGAATCATCCATCGCCGCCGCACGTCTTCTGATACCTTCCAGGTATATCTCACGATTGAAAAGCCCAGCACCAAGCGGAATTCTAAAAATAAATAACGGCGCATATATAGATTAGTGTATGTTACTGATATATAGGTATATATAAGATTTAAACTAAACGATCACGCATCACTTCAAACATCAATAAATGATGGACACGTACGTGTCGATACCTGGCCTCAATATGGTTTTAAAAACTCCCCAGACCGGTTTATGATCCGAGGTGCAGATACTGGGGACAGAATCATATACCAAGCATTCTATAACTCCGTCCTTACTGGAAGTAGAATTCTCATGACTGACACGTCTGATGTATCCCCTAGCGTGTCCTTTTCCCCTGAAGAGAATTCTGTCGGTGTACGCAGGAGTGCGTTGCTTACTACTGGAATCAAAATTATGCGTTCCCGGATCGTATTTGTAAGTAGGAGGAAACATAATCGGGGCTTCTTCGAAACCACGTAATACCGCGCCTTCGTTCAGGATATTTCTCAACTGGTCTTTGTGCATGTTTATCGGTGACTCTTGCGGAAAGCATGTATTTGTAATCCATTGGATCACTTCCTCCCTCGGCTGAGCTAAACGGAAGTTCAGATCGCCACACCAAAACACACAATCAAAATTTTGTGTAACATCTAGTAAAAAAAAAAAAATACGATTTAATTATTAGGCACGATATAAAACGTAAAATTATCAAAGTTGCTGAACGTTAATACCTTTGCTCTTTTGTCTGATGGGTAGTTCCTTGGGTAGGTCAAGATTTCTAACGATCCTTTTTATATCGTTGACCCGTTCCTTCACTTTATCTTGATGTGCGGTCAAATGAGCGGTGACAAAGAGAAAACTGGTGCCGAATATCATGAGAGCTATAGCCACAGCGCCCTTTGTTCTGAAAGCCGTTCCCGGTCTCGTCGAAAAACTATCCTCCTCCGCAATGGAGCAGAACCAGATCAAATCTCGTCTTATAAATAACGCGAGATGAAGTGTACCGAGATTAGTGCTAGTTAATAGCACGTGCGAAGGACCGAGGGTTTCCTGCAATGCTGCTTCCCACTCGGTTCGTTCGGAACAGGATTCTTGAGTTCCTATAGCTAACAAGTCCGGAACAGTCTCTATGTGTGATGGCAACATAAAATCATTCAATTCCTTCGGCGGAGTCTGACCGTTCATGTTCCACGTGCCGACGAAAATTTTCAATTCTCGATTAGGCAATACTTTCTCAAGCTCCACTGGTCCGAGTAAAGAATTGGCGGCAATTCTTCCGTGAAGAAAATTCCTACAAAATTTAATATCATCTCAGTTATCGAATAAAATAATCCTCCTACATAATTTTTGTAAGAGAAATATACCTTTCCCGTGCCTTCTGAGTAGGGATTAAATTAAGTACTTGTGCAGCGAGCAATGATTGCTTTGCCAGGCTATCCATAGACACTCCTGTCGTTTGAAAAAAGTAACGATCTTTCTTTTTGGACAGAGCATCGTGCGACGTTGAGCGTGGCTTATGCTGAATCGGTGCGCTTTTAATTGAGTCTGGACTAGAATGCCTCATAGAGTTTGTAGGTGAGTTCACAATCAAATTATCCGCGGATCGTCTGTGAAGTAATCTACGGCGTAATTGGCCCGATATACTAGGCGATAACGATCCGGAAGAAGAATATTCACCTGGAACAATTTAAAATCATGCATGAAATTCTATCGCCGAAAATCACGCGTCGCAATTACGCCAAAAGAAAAATCATTCACACAATTCTAAAAGAGCATACAACTGACAAAGAGCAAATATACTTCGTGTCTAAAAAATAGACCGATAACGGCATCACGGCATTATCCGTTATAATGAAACCAAATTGCTTCAATTACCACCTATTGCAGTCTTGGCACGTGCAGATTTGTAGCATGATGAAATTACGAGATTCGCTAACATTTAGCATAGTTATGAATACCTTGAAGTCGTCGTGTGACTATATATGCAAGGTACATCAATATTTAATTATCCGATCAATTTATTTGGAATTAAAATAGCCAATGCTATTTGAATTTGAGTTAGGTAATTTGTCAGATTAACTCCAAGTAGCACTGTGGTTATTCCAATTCCAAAACGTATAAATAGGCATATAAAACCAATGTACGTAAAAAGAAATCACCCTATTTTATACACATATTCCCTATTATTCTAAACTAATCAGAAAAGAAATAGATATATAAAAAAAAATAATAAAAAACAATTATAGCTGCGCACAAACAACATAACAGCATTAAACGCACTTAGCCTGTATATTTATTTAACATTTACATTTCTAATCTAATCTAGGCGTAAAATAACTGTATATACATCTCTTGAATAGAAACTAATACATGTACAGAAAACACGTATATCGCCAATTTAATCATCCCATAAGATGCAGATGCTTTAGAAAAAGGGAAAAATTCCATATCCCATACGAACAAAACGTAAAACACTTGCAAAAACATAAGGAAATCTTAAGCAGCGTATAAATTCCGTATATCATTTTGTACCTTCTTTCCCGGGCTTTTCGCAATCGTTTTCATGATAGTGAACCATACTGTAAACTTCGGTAGGATTGTAGAACTGCCGTTCCATTTCCAGGAAGAAATAAGTGATATATTTCCCCTTTGTAAAGTACTCATCCTTAATGTATCTCTGAGTTCTTTCAGACTCAATCAGATGTTCGTTTTCATCTTCTGAAGATTCTTCGAACGAGTCTTCCGTTGAGTCTGCAGAGAAGTCACTGTCTTCACTACTCTCTTGAGAAATCGCCTTTGTTTGTTTTATTAAAAATTTCCGCGTGTCGGACGTAACATCAACGTTATTAGTGATAGGTATTAATAATGCGTTCTTAGACTCAGTACCGTAATCATTCGTTTCATTATCGAGCCGCACCTTCTCGGTATCTCCAACGGATGAACTTACGCCTATGTCCTTATCTTGTTTCATAAAAGCAATTTTTGTGCTCATATGTCTATCCGATCCTAATTTGGAACCCCCCTGCTCAGTTTTAATAACGTTACTCCTTTCACCTTTGTCGTCGTCTATATCAGGAGACCTGGAACTTTCACTTTTTGCGGTAGCTACGTTCTTACAATTTTCTCGCGAATCTGACCAATTCATACTACTTTGTTCCTCTCCCCCAGACGAAATATCTCCTGGAACCGTTACGTGAGTTTCATCGCCAACTGCTTTTCTTATCTTTTGATCGGAATTATTAGCTGCGTTTCCCGAGAGGTCAGTTTGCCCGCTATCGAATTCCTTCTCCTGGCTGTTATAAAATCTCGCCTGATCCCTCGATTCATCCTTCCCTTTAAACGCGCGGCGTAACTTGTCGAGAAAACTTTTCCTCCTTTTCTTACTCGGACTTGACATTTTCAACTCGCGTATTAAGTCGCACTTGCAGCAATCGAGAGAGAGAGAGAGAGAGAGAGAGAGAGAGAGAGAGAGAGAGAGAGAGAGAGAGAGAGAGAAATGCGTGCACGTGCGTCAAAGATAAGACGGCTACTAACTCCACGTATTCAATGGCTTTATACCGATACACTAGTGATGTTATACTCTGCTCGGTACACACAGCTTTCGAGTAAGTTGGAGGGGATGTAGAAGGTCGTTCGATCATCATCATCAAGTCAGATTATACAATGCGCGGAAAAAGAAAAGGAGTGCCATTATATAGGATAGAAGTAGATATGATGTAATCGGAGCTTTTTAAAATTCTTTTCCTCCATAGTAGTCAGAATGAAACATTAGAAACCTAACTCAGAGAACATTATGACGTCTTAAAGATGTCTGAAAGACATCTTTGTAGTCTTTATAGAGATGTCTTGTTTTATTTTTAGACATTCCATAATAAAAATTAATTATGCGAAAACATGAGAGCAACAACACAGGATAGAAATTAGTATTGCTAAATAAATTGATAAATAATAAATTATTTAATATTTACTTAATTTTGTTAAAATATATATCTCTTATTATTATTATTATTATGTATAATATTATGTATAATATTACAACAGACAGAAATTTTTTCATTAGCAGAAGTATGTATCATAATCTCGTGCCAAAGATGCTCTATATCCAAACGAGACAGTTTTTTTAACTGCGAGTTTCTTAATTTGCGAAATGCCATTTATCGAGATGAATAGCAAACTCCAAAAAAATAATAATCTTTAAATGATTTTTTATCAAATCTTAGAGACGTCTTTAGATGTCTTTTAATGAAATCTTTAAAATGTTTTTCAGTACAGTTCTAAAGAAGTCTTTAAACTGCCTATTTAAACATGTATGTTGTCTGGAAATTCTTGCTCATCAGCCTGTTATCCAATTGGCGCTAGCCGTTTGTATAAATGCATACTTAGTATGCAAATTTCGTGCTTAAATAATCAACAGAATTTAATTACCGGAATGGAAGTTCCAACTTACCTTCTATATAAGTACTATGACGCTGTTCCTTCCCCATCGCTACGTTACTCCTTTTGATTACGCAAGTCCACTCCTGAGACGTCTGAGATGTTTGAACGCTCGCAGCCTGCGTCTCTTCCTTCTCGACCAGCACATCCGCTTGATGATCCCCATTGATGGAGGCTATCTCAGATTTGACCGAGGTGCGACTCAGCGTCGTTGGGGAAAGTCTACTAACGGTCAGACTCTGGGGTGGTGTTCTGCTACGTTCGGTCATGGCGCAACACAGGGACAGTTTGGTGCTGGTCTGAGAGCCGTGCTGCGAGTTCTCTATCTTGGAATTCTTATTCGAATCCCCATCCCTGAACGAAGACTCCAGGCAGCCGACCTTGGTCTTCTTGTTCATGAGCATGCGACAGAGGGACTTCTTCTTCTGCTTCGATTTCGGGGAAACCTCTACCTTAGAGACGTCATTCCCGTCGCTCTGCTCCATAATACCCGCGGCTGGTGCATCCAGCACGGGGCAGACGTATAATCCTGATATCGCACCTTCCCTCGGGGTAGGGTCTCGCGCTTCAATATTACGAGATCACATCTCCCATCGCAGCTTATAAATAAATTCCTCTATCGTACTACATTCGCGATACGCATAAAAAAATATTATAGAAAAATTTTCAAAAATATCCTTCCTTTTTTATCTCAAGTCATCAGCGAGCTGTCGACGAATAAGAAGTGTTGATTAACACGTATGATCTCTTCCGTTTGTGCAGCCGTGCGAAGTGAAGTACGTCCAATATATCTCTGAAATGTATTTCGCATCTTCACTGTTAGTATATTTTAAGAACATTGCTACACGCCGCTATGTACATACAAACGCATTGTGCATCGCACGTCACTGATTATATTAAAACCGTAATACCTAGATCCCGCGGTATTGAAGTCGCGACGTGTTCCATAGATATTCCTCATAATGCTTTGGATCAATCAATTTCGCTTCCCATCGAGGCCGACGTTTAGTCGTATGTGGAAGGAAAAACCTATGGTGATGCCAAATAATTGCACTTGGCTCGTCAACGAGCGAGTCTTACTTTTGGACTAGAATCAAACAGGAAAGGGAGGCAGAGAGAAAGAGAGAGGAAAGAAAGAGTAAGATAGAGACATCATGTAACCCCGCGAGAGAACCTCGGGAGAGAAGTTCAACGTATCTGTTGAGATCCGCACGTTCCACCGGCGCGATTCTTCCCCTCTTTCCTTCGCGAGATAGGATCCGCTCGACGTCGAGCTACGTCGAACGACCGCGTCGCTTTCCATTCGGCATCTCGGCCGGCCGAATCAAACCGGATGTCCTCCTCGCGCTTCGTGCGTCCGCCTGCGTATTATATACGCGTCTCGATTCATCGTTCGGCCGGATAACGACGAGCTACGAATACTGCGGATTCGAGAGCGCGTTCGGAGGTTTTAATACTGACTCACTCGCTGGCTGACTCGTCGTGACGGCTGTTTGTGTACGCACGCCGACACGTCATTCACGCCCCGAGATCCATAACAAACCGGGTCGCTCGAACCCGATCGAACCGAGTCTACGGGACACTCTGACCTCGGCCTCCATCATCCCCGCAACGGCGACGACGCGTCGGGCACATCGCGCGCGTTCACGAATCGCACCGGGCGTTCATTTCTCTCTTTTTATTTTTTTCCTCTCGTTTCTCTCTTTCCGTCATCTATCTTCCCCCGGAGGAGCCTGTAGCGGGACTCGCGCACCGTAATCGCGACCCGCATATACGCCGCACCGATTCGCGCAGCCGTCGCGCCCGCAGCAGACGACGGCGGTCGCGTCCGCCGTGCGGGAATCGATTAACGATCGGCGAGCTCCGGCGGTCCGTCCCGCGGGAATCGAGGAAAGGGACACCGTGCCCGGAACGGAACGGAGCACGTCATAGGCACGTCGAGAGAATACGAGTAGCTTTAAATGACACGTTGGAATGGAAAGTTGGAACGGACAAACACGCGAGCGAACGAACGAGCGCCCGACTGTCAAACCGAGCAGACGACAGCAACGGCCGCCATATTAATCTCGCCGCGCGCGCGCGCGCGCGGCTATACCGCCGGGCGTCGCCGAGCGAAATCCCGGTCCAACCGCCATATTTATTTACTTTAATAACCGATTACATGATTTCTTTAAAATGAATTCTTGCATTTCTCTGTAGAAAAAAAGAAATTTTAATTAAACATAAAATGAATCCAAAGAACATTACACTTTGATGAAATGATTAAAAAGATGTTATGATGTCTTAAAGATATTTATGTCACGATGATTTTGAAACGTCTTTTGGACGTCTCTTGTCTGAGATTACTTTGTTTAATGTTTACTTGATTCCCAGCAATTACGAAATTATATATAATATAAATATTAATTGTAATTTTCCACTTAATAATGTAACTATTATATAACACACGCGTTATATAATAATTACATTGAGTGGAAAATTACAACTAACTAATTTATATTACATGTAACTTCGTGTTTGCTGGGTTTTGTTAATCTATTTATATTTTTATATATGTATATTGTAATAGACAGAAATTTTTATAGAATTTTATAAGAGTCGATATCTTAATATCTTGTCAAAATCTTGTTAAAATGTAATTGGAATGTGTTGAATTTTTTTTAGAGTTTTTATGGAACAACGACAGTACATGAGAGCGAGCCCTGAACTTGTACTTAATACAATAATTTATAATGCAAATAGTTAAGTGAAATTGGTAAGGATAGTTTAATTTCAGAATAATTAAAGAAAGGGAAACAATTTCCAGAAAAACGATAAATTGAAAACATGCTGAAGATACTATGCACATATCTAATCGACGTTTTTTAACTGCGAATTTCTTGTGAACTTGTGAAATGCCATCTATCGAGGCAAGTGGCATATTCAAAAAGTTCAATAAACAATAATTTTCAAAAGTCTTTTTGTCATGTTTTAAATACGTCTCAGGATCACTTGGGACGTTTTTCAATACAAAATCGTAAAGACGTCTTTAGATGAAGTCTTAAAGATGTTTCTAGGACATCCTTTGGAAAATGATTTTAAAGACGTCTTAAGAGTGACACTTTTGGGCTGCTTTTTAAACGTGCGTGTTGTCTAAAGAATATCATTTCGCGCGGTATGCTAAATATCCCGCGCGTGAGAAATCGACTGTCATATAATGTCAATGGACCAAATATGGCAAACTCAGCAAACCATTCCCACTCTTGCTAATCTTGTCACTCTACCGCGTCACATCGGCGCGCACACGACGTGCATCACGATGCGGCCAGTGGCGGGCTGCGCCATGATAATGTTTTGTTTACATCGGGAGCGCAACGAAGACAGCGATTACGCCAACGGCGATTAGGATGCCCGACGAAAATACGAATGGGGGATCAGCGATTTGTGACCGTGACAGGTACAAAGGTAGACTTTTCAACTTCTAACGATCGAGTTTCTGTCGACTGAGGCGCGTCGCGTTTGTTTAAAATGCATAGTTATTCTTATAAAATTGACTACGATGATAACGACGACAACCGACCGAATTGATGGGGGGGGAGGGGGAAGAGAGTCGAGGGGGATCGGATCAAGTCGGGCAATTTACAAATTCCGAGATTTTCTACAGCGCGTTTTATCTAGGAACCGGCTGTCCATTCCGGCTATCGATAATATGGGCATCCCGCGGGAAACCGGGATTGCGTCACGTAGCGCCGTTTTCGCGCCCCGGGAACATTCGAGAAGGAGCAGCTGTCACGCACGTGCGTCCATGTAACTACGCTTTTGCGTCGCTCGCGCGCGGAGCCCCCCTTCCGAAATTGACAGTTGCGAAACGGCACTAGCGGCGTTCGAGGGAGTGACCTTGATTGTCGTGCTCAATCGGGTGTCGACGAATCCGCCGATGGGAAACGCCGGGTATGATCGCGAACGATTTCACACGGTCCGGTGAGTATTGCACAGCGAAAAAATTCAGCCTCGGGATTAGTACGGTTATTCGACGTTGGTTGACAGGGGGATAGATTATGTATCTTTAAGCGAGAAAAAAAAACGTGAAAATTACAAGTGAGGAAATTTGCTAGCTTTCGACACATAATGTTACTAAAGATATTCCAATGAATTTTGCTACTTGTAATTTTCATCTCGTTTTAAGATACACAATCGACTTGATTTCGTTCTTGTTTTAGTAAATTAAATAATTTTATCCTTTGACTTTGAGAGAGATTTTGTTATCGACGAAAGATGAAAAAAGAAAATAAAATTCTTTGAAATGTGGAGAATGCAATCATCATTATTGTAAAGTTGGCGCCTGATTTATAATTTGCTATTGACGATTTATGTAAATTCGTAGGAATTCGTCAAAACTCTCCGCCTTATTTGCGAATCATAATTCATCGTTGTATAATGTAATTTTATGCACAAGTATTCTCAGACTTCCTCAAAGGATGCCCTAAAAACGTCCAGAGGACATTTTAAGAATGTTCTCAGAATGCTCCTCGAATAAAGTGTATTATATAGTATATTCGTGTTTATATCTGAAGTGAAAGTGCCTTTTGATTTTTTCAAATGATCAGTAAACATAATTTTGTAGAAAATTAATGTTTTTACACTGAATTTTAATAAATGTGATCGTCTGATTAAACAAATCAATATTTTAAATATGTTAAGAAGAAAGAATAAATAAATGAGAATCATTAACAAAATAATATATCAATCAAATAAATGTAGATATAATTCTTTATATTTTTTAAGTTTGAGTTCAAATCAAAGGGGGGGAATTGTTCATTTTAGAACGACTTTGTTGAGACACGAACTGAAAACTTCCTCTGAAATTTAAAATGCTATTCCGTTTAGAATGACCACTATTTTTTTTATTCTCAGATTATTAAAAATCGTTCCTTCAAGAGACCGGGAGTAAGGTAAGAATCGCGAAGAAATCGCGCGTCTCCGATCGGAATCGTTCATAGTCGTTCTCGTTGCGTCGCGTTGCATCGCGTTGTGTCACGTTGACTCGAATCGCATCACATCGTGGCGCGTCAGCCGTCCGAGAAACGGAAACGTGGGTTGCGCCGCCACCGCTAGGTGTCGGGCCGGCGCACGACGGCCTGGCTCGCTGTGTAGACGGCCACCATTGTTGAAACACTGCTTTGGTTGATGCCCCGACGATTTTTGGGCCGAAAATCGTAAATTCGCCCGTGCCCGCGGCGATAGGGCCTCGTTGCGGTAGGTGTGCGCAAAGTCCGTTCTTGCGATCGCGATCGCGACCGCGTATGTGTCTCGCACGCCGAACCGTACCCGAACGTGCGAGGGTGACGATCAGACACACGTCTCGATCGTCGTCGTCGTCGTCGTCGTCGTCGTCGTCGTCGTCGTCGTCGTCGTCGTCGTCGTCGTCGTCGTCGTCGTCGTCGTCGTTGTCGTCGACGACGTCGTAGTAGTAGTACGGTGGCCAGAGCCTAGTCAGTCGAAAAATTGTGAACTATATTGTGCGTCCGCGTGATTTATCCCGCGACGAGAAGAGAAAAAGATAAGGAGAGTCGTGGTGTTGCGGCACGCTCTCTCCC